AGTAGTAAAGAAACAATATACTCTGAAGTTGGTAGATTATTTAGAGTTTCTCTCTATATATTTTGCTGTTGTCCTTATTTTGCCTTTGAAAAAAATATTCTTAGCACTTTCCCTGTGTGACAAGGACAAATTAAAAAAAATTTTTTTTTTAGTTCTTGGTATTAACTTGCCTGCAGATTTTATTACATAGGGCTTAGTAAGGATGGGCATTGAATATAATGAAAAATGAATTTGGAAGTTTATCTATGTGTTTTTTTCCTCCCTGAGTACCCAAGTGTTGATGATAGCTTAGTTGTCAAACAGGTGATACTGTGTAATGTAAACACATTAATAGACCCAGGAAAAGGCTTGGACACAGGGAGCTCACAGATTAGGGACTATGGCTTGTTCCCATCCAAAGAAGAAAGTTTCCTGGCATCGTGAATCCACAAGGGTGGTAGATGGCCTCACACCAGGCTCTTTGATAAACAGCTCTTTTCCATTCTTCCTGTCTTTCTCAGCCTTTTTCCTCCTGATTGTTCTGAACGTTTTGGTTTGAGCCTATTCTTCTGGTAAGAATAAATAGTATGATACACTCCCTAACCTCCTGATCACTTATGAGTGTTTGTTGCAGGATAGGCAAATTGTTTCTTAATAGAAGCAAGCCAATAACTTATCTAAGATGGATTCCTGTAAACATGTCCTTGGGATGACAAAATAAAAAGATAAATCAGTGTGGTAACATATGCCTGTTAACCCCATCACTAGGGAAACAGAGGAAACAGGACTGCAAATTTGAGGTCAACCTGGCCATATAGCAAAACCCTATCTCAAAAACAGAAAGTGAGTGACTTTGCTCTTAAAAATATTATTTTCATTTAAAAGGAGTATATGCTTTTCTATGTACATTTTCTAATTAAAATTAGAAAGTGGTCTTACTTTCTGTGGCTCTTCTTTGAGAAGCCCATTCTGATACTGTTGTGTGTAACCTTACTTTGTTCTAAGTGCTTCTGTATTCTTAACCCTTATGCTTAAGCCTGTATTAAAATGTCTTTATTAACTCCCTCCCCAGATTAAAATTTATTAAATAATGTGATGATGCTTACATTGAAAACAATGATCATTTTCCCCATTCTTTCTTACTTCCAATTCTCTTCATTAATTCAATAATTATTTGTATTTAAAATTTTTATTATTTATTTATTTATTGGTCTTTTTGAGGCAAGGTCTCCCTGCAGCCCCAGTTGGCCTGGAACTCACTACGTAGTCCAGTTTGTCCTCAATCTTACAGAGGTATGCCTAACTTTGGTTCCTGAGTGCTGGGATTAAAGGCGTGCACCACCGAGCCTGGCTAAATTTATTTTACTTTGGAGAATTTCATACATGAATATTGTATGTGCATTATTTCCATCCTTATCCGTTCCTATGAACTCTTCCCATGTCCCCCCCACTCCCTCTCAATTTCTTTTCCTCTTCATTTTTGTTTTTTTAAAAAATATTTTATTTATTATTTTTATTTTATGTGTATGAGTATATTGCCTGTATGCCTGGAAGTGCACCTGTGTTGTGAATGCCTGTGAAGGTCAGAAAAGGGCATTGAATTCCTCTGGAATTGGAGTTACAGATGGTTGTTAGGCGTCGTGTGGGTGCTGGGAATCGAACCTGGGTCCTCTGCAAGAGCAACCAGTGCTCTTAACCACTGAGCCATCTCTCCAGCCTCCTACTGTCTTATTTTTAACCAATATGTGTATATAGACCTTTCTTGATTTTTTTTAAACCTTAGTGATTGTCTGCTTTCTTTCTATGGAAGATGAAGATTTAGCTGCCTGTGCCCTCTTCTCAATGAATTTCATTTTACTTCTTGTACTGACATATTTATGTCTAACATTATCTGATTTTATGAGTATAATTTAGAGCTAAATCACACAGCAATCTAGGGTTCCATTTTTATATAACCCACTGTTTTTTACCAGTTAAAACACATATTTTTAGGTTTTTTATGCTTTTATTGTGAGCTCGTCCTCAAGCTTTCTAATGTAAGTAAAAATTGCTGCTAAGCATATTTGTGTTCCATTTCACATTTGTCTTTATGTTCATCTGAAGTCCTCAGTTCTTTCCTCTCTATTCCAAGTTAATTATTCCATAAGTCTGTGTTCTAGTTTGCTTCTCCATTGCTGTCATAAACCACTCCGACCAAAAGCAATTTGGGGAGAAAGGGGTTTATTTGTCTTACAGCTCATAGTCCATCATCAAGGGAAGCTAGGGCAGGAACTCAAGGCAGGAACCTGGAGGCAGGAGCTGAAGCAGAGCCCATGAAGGAACGCTGCTTATTGGCTTGCTCCTTGGGACCATGCTCAGCCTGCCTTCTTATACAACTCAAAATCACCTGCCCAGGGATGTGGTACCACCCACAGTGGGATGAGCCCTCCCACATCACCCTAAAATCAAGAAAATGCCTCAGAGACATGGTTCCAGGCCAGTCTGATAGAGGAAATTCCCCAATTGATGTTCCCCCTTCCCAAGTGTGTCAACAAGTGAAGCTATCCAAAACTGTTTGTTATAAAGCTGTTACCTGGGGCTTTTCCTTTAACCATTATCTTAAGAGTTTTCTCTAGGCCTAGTTTACCTTCTGTGTTATCTTCTTTTCTGGGTTGTTGTTGCTGTGAGCAGACACTGGGCATAGGCAACAGAAGGAGGGAAGATTTGTTTGGCTCATGGTTTCAGAGCCTTTGTCTTTGATCAATTGATTCTGGGCCCATAGAAGGGCAGACCATCATGGTGAAGGGGGAATGCTGAGGAGCTTGAGTCTCTCCAATCAGGAAGCAGAGGGACAGACAGGAAAGGGCCAGAGACAAGGTATCCCTGACACCCTCCCTCACTGAAGTACAACCTCCACTGAAGCTCCACTCCTGAAGTTTCCACTACCTTCCTAAATAGCATCAGCAACTGGGGAACCAAGCTCCTGGTGCAAGAACCTTTGAGGGTCACTTTATATCCTGCATATCTCTTAGGTTATTCCTTCTAGGAGTTTCCTGACAAAGGTGATTTAGGACCTCACTTTTATGAAAATGTTTATATTTTACCCTTCTATTTCATCAATATTTTAGTTTGTGGGGCTGACTTTTTCCTCAATATCCTGACGACATATCTCTATTATCTTTGCATTTCAGTGGTGCCGTTGAAGTTTCATGCTACTTACATCATTGTTCCTTTGACTGGGATCTTTTTTCTCCCCAGTGGATGTTTTCAGGCTCATCCTTTTATCCTGATAGTCATGTTTTGGTTAGACAAAATCTTTAAGAGGCTTTCTACCAAATGCTTGGGGGTATTACCAGTCTGGGATTAATTTGAATCAAATTCTTGGCTAGAGGTTTATCAAACCATTTAAAAAGACTGAATTCAGGCCACAAAACTGCATGAAGGTGATTTGTGGTTCCAAATTCTTAGAGGCAATTTCCTTCCATTTTATACTTACCTAAATTGGAAATGGTCAGTTTTCCTGCTGGTTCATTAGAAGTATTTGTGTGTGTGTGTGTGTGTGTGTGTGTGTGTGTGTGTGTGTGTGTGTGTGTGTGTGTGTGTGTGTGTGTGTGTGTGTGGTGGGGGATGTGTGGTTATGTCTAATTTACCCCTGCATTGAAGGTACAACTCTTGAGAATCTCAGACTTCTTGCAGGAGTAAAACCATTAGACTTCCCAGCTTGGTGAATCTCTGGACTTTGTTCTCTGGCCCCATTTCTCAAAATGCTGTCTGGGTGCAGCTGGTTTGACAAATGCTGTTAGGGTTTAATGGGCCACTTACCTGTCTAGGCTTCTGTCTTCACTCAAGGTCTGGCCTAAGACTTCTTCACTCTCTTGTCTGATGATTTTAAGATGATATTTTAAAAATGGTAAGCCTGGCATTTTGGAGTACGTGTGTAATCTCAGTACTCGAGAAGCTGAGGCAGGAGGATTATGAGTTCAAGGCCAGCCTGGGTTATGTAAAGAGATCCCATCTGAAGAAAACTTATATCCTGTCCAGGAATTTTATCTATTTTCATAAGTGAAGATATCTGGCCTGTTGTCTTCCTGGAAGTGGAAGTCGATGTTATCTTTCTAAGCCCCAGTTTCCTCATTTGAAATATGTATTGTGAGGAACAAATTAGATTATTAGTATAACGCTCCTAGCTCTGTGGGTGGCACCTGTGGCTAATACTCACTTTTATTTTATTTTTCAGTATTGGAGATTGAACCCAAGGCCTCACACATGCCAGACAAGTGCCTTACCATTTAGCTACCCCCCTAGATCTCATTGTACTTTTTATTTTGAGACAGAGTTTCACTAAGTTGCCTTGAACTTACTCTCTAGCCCAGGCAGGACTTGATCCTGAGGTCCTCCTGCCTCAGTGTCATGAGTAGCCTAGATTATATGCCTTTGCCACCATGCCTTGTTTAATTAAGATTAAAAAAATTCCAGGTGGGATTCTCAGAATCTGAAAATAAATAGCCCTACTTTGCTGGTTTCTTCCTTTGACAACCTCATATATATAGTATTATATTATATTCACCCCCATTTCCCTCTTGTTCCCTTCCCACTCCCCCAGACTCTTTCTTTCCCACATGTCCCCCTCCTACTTGCAGTTTTTAGTTTTTATAACCCAGAGTTTAATTAGGCTTGTTTGCTTCCATGCGCACCAGTGTGAGGTTATTTACTGGATCATAGGCAACTTGCCAATGGCTATATACCTGAAGAAAAATGGCTCCCCCTCTCCTAGAAGCCATTAACTGCAGTAGCTCCTCAGCTAAGGGTGGGCCTCATGAGCTGCTCCCCCATTCATGATGATGGACTGTTGCCAGGCTCCATCTTGTGCTGGTAGCCATTGCTGCTCTGAGTTCATGAGTGCAATGTTTTTTGCTGTATTTTTAATAGGTGTATGTGGGACACTGAACTGAGAGGTTGACTGTGAGGTGAGGATAGTGGGAGGTCTTGAAAACATATATTTATTAAGAAATACAGTTAATTCTTTCCATTTCAATTAAGAACCAAGTAATTAAACATTACTGGTAGCCTGGATCTTAATTAAGGGCATGGAGGTTTATTAATGGGAAATCCTCAATTAATTTGTACATTTCTTGTGACAAAGGAATTTGAAAACACCCCCTCCTTCCTGTAATCAAATAAGACTCTAAAGGGATATAAACTTGATTTTTTTCTAATGGCAAAGTACACTATGCCCTAATTTTAAAAAACAATTTTATATTGTTAGAAAGTATGTAATTTTATGAAAAAAGTCTTTTAAAGTCCATAGATACATCTAGTCTAAACAGTTACTCTTGTTCTTAAAGACAATTTGCCACCTAGTGCCAAGCAGTCTTTGGTTAGAATCAACTTTCTTGGGGTTGGTAGACCATACACTCAGCCCTCTCAGGGACACTTCTTCAACAGGTGCACAGTGATGTTCTTTACAGCCAGCATGGTCTCTGTACAGGTGGGTTTGATGAGCATCTCTGGCAGTAAAAATCCAAAATGCCCTGTGTCACGTAGTTCAAAAGCAAATGCATAGGGTATTCCATTTTTGTAAGCCCAGTCCATTGAGTTGCCAGAGCTTATATCTAAAAGTAAAAA